TTGGGTTAACCTTGGTAACACAGCACTGTGAAGACCTACATCTAGGTTTGTTGTTTGAGAATGGTTTGAATGGCTGTGATAGCTGGGGAAGCTACCTGTCACTGATAACGAGATCTTCATGGGAGAAGGGCACTCTCTTGTCTGAACTCTCTGCATCTTGACACCACTTCCTCCATCCCTATCACACCTACATAAGGTTTCCATTGAAGGGTGACTATTAATGTTTCATGTTCTCTTGTTCATCAGTTGTTGTTATAAGCTAATTGGAAGGAATTGCATTTTTATATTTTTAAATAAATGGGTACAAATACCACTGAAACTCCTCATTTGAAAACATTTTAGATGGGTTAAAAAACGTAACTTTTGCATATATGAAAGTTTTTGTAGGTGATACATATCATTTTGGCCAGAAAAATTTAATAATAATTTCAACATTTCTAAACATCCCATTTCAACATTTTCTCTTCCCAACAGGACTGTTTTGGAAAAAAAAAAGGGGGGGGGCAGAAAAGATAGACTGTCTTGTGTCCTGTGTCTATTTTTTAGGACACTGTCTTTTTATAAGAGAAAAACTTTAAGTTTCACAGTCCTTTTAATTATTACAATGACACCAACAAATCTCCATGTAGTACAACACTCTCAAGGTTAATCCCTCCCCCTTTCATCACCCATTATTTTACTGAAAGCCCTGGTTCTATAAAATGAATCACAAAGGTGATATCCTACAACACCTGATCTGCAATGTGTCATGACAGACTGAAGACCAAAGAACAAGTGAGGACACTCCCGTTGTAAAGTTCCCACCTCTCTCTTACTCAGTCCCTTGGAATAATACCCAACACATCACCCACATCAAAGGTAAGGGCTAGTTAGAAACACTAGGAAAGTTTAATTTCTTTCTTACATTTTTAGTTGAAAATAAATAGGAAGTTCTAATATTGTCTTTCTACACACCACATGGATCATCTTTCATCTTTAGTCCTCAGCCCTCCAAACCACCCACTTTCTTACCATCCCCAGGGGCAGCCTCTCCTGGGAACCCCAACCTCCAAAATTGCTTCTCATTTAATCCTCTCCCCTACCCCCACCCTACAAGAACTGCTCCACATTAGTAGGAGTGTCAGGTGCTGACAAAGCAGTCTCATTGAAATTCAGCAAACCCTCAGGATTTTTGGATTTGTGGCTTCATTTTGAATACTCGCATGGCAAGCTGTGCCTTCCTGCCTAAGCACCGATTCCTACACTCCCAGCCAAGTTTAACCTGAGCACATGTTATATTTCGATGAGCCTGCCTTTATTTTTTGTATTCTACCCCTTTAACTGGCTCCCTAACCTTTCACATTCTCATATGTGCTGCAAGTATTTCTGTGTTAAAAATTCCTAATACATGGGGTTTCTTTCATGTTACTCCTCAGAGGGAGGCCTCCTTGACTTGCAAAACTGCATAGAATCGGGTTCCCAGGGCAACCCTCTTTTCTTTTCCTTCATTTCTCTGGGGGCCAAGTAGCCTGGCTTCTGCTGCCTGACTCCATCTTGAGCCCACACTGCATGAATCCAATTTTGTAAACCATTGCATAATACTTTGTTCACAAACCAGGACAATGCCTTTCCCACCCACTCTGGTATCTCTTTGCTTAAGGGAAATTGTTTTGCACAGTTAACATTTAACTAGAAACTAGCATATTAAAAATTTGGCCCACTTTTCTTAAAAGAACTTGGGTTAAGGGTATGTTGCCTTTTTTTAAATTCTTGGAATGTCTAAGAAGTAAAATTGCAGGGAATTCAGTTATCTATTCTCTAATGCAGGCCACATCAAATAAGTGAGCAAATAAGTAATTAAAATATTAATAATATTTAACAAGCTGAAAGTGTTAAAGGGTGTAAGCCTCTCACTTAGTATATTTCCACGTGCCTAAATTTCCCTCTGCCTACATGCTCTTGCCTGGACAGCCTCCCAACCCCCTCACTCACTCACTTCTACCTGGTCCCTACTCTTTAAAATAGCCTCCTGACTCTTCCTCCTCCATCATTCTTTATCCCTTTACCCTCTTCTTCATGACACTGATTACTCCCAAGCGATGCTTGTGTGTTTTCTGTCTGCCCTGTGCAAGTGTGGCTCATGGGGGCAGGGACTTTGTTTTGTTCACTGCTGTGTCCTCCCCTAAAAGCACTGGCTCGACATATAGGCTCTTAGAAAATATTTGTTGAAAGAGTGACTGAATGTCTAGCAAGGAGAAGTTATAGGAGGGCTATAGGAGAAATACAGGTTTTCTTTTCCATGATAGTAAAAAGCCCACACAGAAAGTCTAGTGCAGGGAGGGGAGAAGAGCCAGGAGTGTTGGTGGCTTCCTGGACCCATCTCCAGGTAGGAAGAAGCATACTGAGGGGGAACTGGCAAAACAAAATACAGTGTGCCTGTGAAGGTTCTGAAATTACACTCAGGAGGACTAGGCGCCTGGGCCTCTCTCCCAGACTGAGGGGAGAGAAGGAGAGGAAAGAGAAGATGGGTTTGCTACGATTTTTCTAGGGGCCTCCATCCAACCACGTGGCCACTAGACTCTGGAGCCAACTGGGTTGGAATCTGGCTGTACTCTCCTCCACACTCAACTAGAGGCAGGCAGCCATTTCAGTGCTCAACCTCCAGCCCACACCTTGAGCAAGTCTGGATGAGCAGGTCTGGATGAAAACCCTAAAAGCAGGGTTTTCTCTTGTCTCAACAGAAGAAAGCAAATGACAGAAAGGAAAGCTAAGGACTGAAAGCTGAGCTAACACTGCTTAACTCTTCTTTCAAAAGAAATCTGTACTGACAGTCATAAAAACGTCCTCTCCCATTCTTAGCTGACTTCAGAAATAACTGGTTTGACAGCATGAAGGCAGTGTCAATCACCTCATTTACCTGAGCCGCTTTCCATTTCAGCCCAGTTATTTTATAGCACTGGAACAATTGTGCATATACCATCAAATATGTGAGACTGACTTGGATGCATGCATTATTTAACACAAAAGCTGTTCTCAGTCCTCCTAGTTAAGTCTTCATGTAGTCAACCTATTCTCTCACAACACAAAATTAAAATAATAAATAAGTCAATGAAAAAAAGGACCACTACAGCCAGGTGAGGGGAATGTAGGTGAAGGTCTCTGCCATATTCAGGATCACCCAGCTGCTGTTCTTTGATACAAAGGATGCCATTTACTAAACACTTTACATTTGTTGAATAACTTTACACATATTAACGCAACCTTCATCACAATCCTAGCAGGTAGGTACTATTAATAATCCCATTTTACACATCCAAGTGCCTTACTCATCCCAGAAAATGGAAACTTAAGTAATTTGCCATAAGTCACTTGGGTAGAAAATGGCAGAGCTAGGATGTGAATCCAGAAGCCATATGTTCCAGATAAAGACAGCATCAATGTTGACCACCACTTGGAAGTGTGCCAACCAAAATGGAACACTGTTGAAAGGGAACTCACTCTAACGAGGCAGCAGCAGGGTGTTGTGAATGGGAAGGAAACCGATTGCCTTAGTGCACAACTCAGTGAACATGACAGGTGCTTTCCTTACTGCGTGCCAGGTGGATCCAGCAGTGAGCTCCGATTTCTCCAGGAGGACCACGTCCTTCATCCCTGCTTTGGCGAGGTGATAAGCCAGACTCACACCAACACAGCCACCTCCAATGATCACTGTCTCTGCTCTGTCTTTCCATCTTGTTTCTGCAGGTAAGGGTGGGTTGTCCTTTCTGGAAGAAAATTAAAAAAAAAAAAGAAGAAGGTAGATCTACTAGGCTATGGTAGCGACAGTTTTTTGTTGGTGGTGGTTTTTTGTTTTGCTTTTTTTTTTTTTTTTTTTTAAGGCAACTAAAATCTAACTTAGGCCCTAGCTGGTTTGGCTCAGTGGATAGAGCATCAGCCTGCGGACTGAAAGGTCCTAGGTTCGATTCTGGTCGAGGGCACATGCCTGGGTTGTGGGCTTGACCCCCAATGGGGGACATGCAGGAGGCAGTCAATCAATGATTCTCTCTCATCATTGATGTTTCTATCTCTCTCTCCCTCTCCCTTCCTATTTGAAATAAAAAAGATACGTATTTTTTTTAAAAAAATCTAACTTAGGCAACCTGGTTGTGGGAGGGAGGAGGAGGCATTTGAGCCCCATTCCATGTAATTCTGGTTCATTGTAGATAATTAATATAGCTAAAGAATTGAACAGGTGAATTCTTTTTTTCAGAGGATCTAGAGAGAATAATTTTTCTCATTCTATTTCAAGGACATACTTATAATCATTTTATCCCATGAAAAACCGTAATCATCATGAAGTTTAGTACCCATAATTCTTGGGTCACCTCCCTCCACTGTTTTCCAGGTTGAAGAGATCCAGATGGAGTAAAGCTTTCTTCCTCATTTAACTTCCTCTCACCGTATATATGCTTCTCTAATTAAAATCACTGCTCTGTGGTTTACCATTTATTTGCACGAGCTTCTCCAAGGCATATTGTAAAAAGCAATGTGTAAGGGAGCCACAGAAGAACATATATATACACCTGTGTTTGCAGACACATAGATCCTCTCTGGGCAGATACAAAGGCACTGTAGCAGGTGACTGGGGAAGAGGTTTGGAGTTGAAGAGACTTTGCACTGGGAACCCTTTGATTCTGTATCACTTTGTACATTGTGCATGGAAAAGAAAACATAAATCAAGAAGAAATCCGAATGCCCATTTTTCAGAAGCCGAAGCACCCCTAAGGCCAGAGTCCGCCTTAGCCCCTCGCTCCCGCCCTGCAGCCGCCGGGTTTCCACTCACCCTTCGTGGCCGCCGACAAAGAGCGGACGGCGGGGGGAGCCAGGCAGCCCTAAGCCCCGCAGCGGGAGGCCCCGCAGCCACTGCACTCCCGGGCGGAGCATGGCGAAGCTGAGAGCACGGACACCGGCTCCGCGGCGGAGGCTGGCGGGCCGCCCGGGGCCGCGGGAGATCCTCCCCCCGGCGAGGGGCGGGCTCCTGGACTTGCGCGCTCGCGGCCACCCGGCGCCTGCAAAGCCGCTGCGCAATGGCACCCGCCGGAGCCAAGAAGGTGAGTTTCCCCAAGTCCGCGACTGCTCAGCCCTCAGGCTGCGGGGCTCCCAGCGCCGGGGTGCAAAGCCCGCTGGAGCCCGGCCGGCTCTGCGGCCGCGGCAAGGCACCTGGGCGGCTTAGGCCTCGGTGTATGGGATCCCGAGGCGGGGCGGCAACAGGCCTTCGTGTGAGGACAAGATAACAAACCTGGGTACCATTTGTTGAGCCCTGACTCCGAGCGGCCCTGCACCCAGTGCTTTGAGCACATTATCTCCTCATCTTCACAATTGTTCCCCTACACGCTTGAGGAAACTGAGGCCCCACAGTCAGAGGACGAACGCAGAGTGGAGCGGGGATGCGCGCCTTCAGACTCAGAGGCCACACTCCCATCCTCTCCCCCGACCGGCCGCACCCACAGCGGCTGCACCCACGGCACTCGCTCTCCTGCCCCAGAGCTCCTTGGCCTCGGGTTCCGGAAGGGCTGCAGTCTGGCTGTCCCAGTTGCCGGTTGGCCTGAAACCAGGCCTGGCTCGGGCAGCCAGACCCTCAGTGGGGTGTGGAGGGAGGGGGCTTGGGGACCCCTTTGTCTCATCCCACCTGGCAGCCCCTGTCTCCAGGCTCTTTCTCTCAGCCCCTTTCCAGGTCTGGTCGCCAGCTCTTGGCTTTGTTCACCCATTTCTACACCTGGTGTGTGAGTGGTGGGAAGAAGGGGTGACAAAATAAAATTAGGAAGGCCATGAACTTGGACGCAGGACTTGTCCAGAACCTCTCAAAGCAGCCCACCTGAGCCCTGAAATTCATAAGAGACGAAAGAGAACAATGGGGTGATTTGGGCATGGAAAAGAAATGTGTGCTACCGACTGATTTAAACTAAAAAGTTAGGAACAAACAGGACTCCCTACAGTAGCGGGCTCCCTAAATAAATTAAGGTTCATCCACTTAATAAGTGTTAGACCCCTAAGGAGCTAAGTATGGAAGCAGGCAAAGTGCTTTGGCAATGTTAACTTACAAAAGGAGATATATCACACTGATTGCAACCATATATATACACACACACTGAGTGGCCAGATTATTATGACCACCCCATCAGTACAATAAAGTGAATTAGTTATGCAAATAATAATAATAAAACCTTGAGAGTATTTGCTTAGGAAATTTTCAATATTCAGTATTTTTGGAAGTGTCAATGAAGTACTGATGGGGTGGTCATAATAATCTGGCCACTCAGTGTATATATACTTATACACACCGTAAGGAAGGACATAATAATAGTAGTCGTTACGTAAGATGAGGAATATGGGTTCAAAAACTTAAAATCATTTTGGACATGTTTTCCTGATTATAAAAGTAAAATATGGGCATTGAAGAAAATGGGTGTAATAAAAACTTAAAGAAGCAAAGAACATTGTGCTGATTTCTTTCTCTAAACTTTCTCTACTACTGTGTTCACTTTTACAGTTCATTTTTTTTAAGGGTTTGAAAATATGCTGTCTTATTCAGTTTCTTCCTGGCATCTACTCTTGCAACACCAAGCTTATGATATACTAATCCATGTTAATGGGTCTCTGGGAGTGAAAATTAAAATGTTAGTGGGAAGGAATTATCCCACTTCTCTTCTCAGCTAACAGGTGCATTTTAAGAGTTTATTTAATTGCCACAGAGGGCACCTCCAACTGTATCTTTAATCCAAAGGAGCAGTCCCAACTGTATCTTTAATCCAAAGGAGCAATCCAAAAATGCAGTGGCATTTTTCAGGCATAAGGGGTGATATTTTAGACAGATTGGGTCTCTGGCTGCCTCTTGCCACAGGGAGCAGTTGGTGGACCCCTTTGGGTATGAATAGAGGTGCCCTGAAGCCAGATCCTAAGTCCTGATGTCCACATACTGATACCTGCAGAAAGGGGGTGTAACTGTCTCAGAGTCATCGTCAGGTCCCAGGTGGGATCACTCCAAACTGAAAGGGAGGATGGAATGAAAATATAAATGTGCTGTAAGTTTACAGTGTTCTTTATTTTACACGGTCCTGTCATTTTCAAACTATCTTTAGATCATACGGGTACAGTACTTGGGTGGTGAGTACAGCAGTGAAGGAGAGGCTAAAGATGCTCTGAATTCAAATCTTAACAACTAATTTATTTTGCTAATGGCATTTTAGAAAATTGGCAAATTTAAAATATTGGACAAACATCTAGACAACAGATGAAAATGTTTATTTGGTATTATGAAGATACCATCAAAATATGTACTATAATTTTCTTAAAAACCTAGCAAATTTTCTGTTAGAGAGAGAGAGAGAGAGAGAGAGAGAGAGAGAGAGAGAGAGTGAGTGTGTGTGTGTGTATAATTTTTCCCTTCTCAGGACCAAATTTGAAGCATATGTAAGACATGTGACATTTTCAAAATGGTCTTGTCTGTCTGTGAACCCTGCATAGTTTATCAAGGGCTTACTCTTTGTTGGGTGCTGTAGGAGGTAGTAGGAATAGAGACAAGGTACCTGAGCCTCAAACATCTTACAGCCACACAGAGGCAACAGGTAAGTAAGCAAATACTGCAGTGCAGGCAATGGATGCAGGAATGGAGGGTGTTTGGACTTCAGCAGGACACAAAGTAGAGGTTATTGCAAATCAGAGTGGGCCAGGCAAGGCTTTGCTCTGGCAGCAATGGGACATAGAACAGGGGGCTGGAGGGAATTGGAAGTCATTTCAATAATCCAGGCACGGTGAGAGTGCGGGGACAAAAATAAAAAATGTTAAATAGATCCACTTGGTTTGGATATGGGTGGTGAGATACTAATAACACCTAAATGTATACCAATGTTTTTCCTTCTAAAAGTGTTTGATGTGTACTATTAAATTTGATTCTTAACATAGTTCATTGAAGTATGTTAGATTTTCAAGATGAGATTTTATACAGGTGACTTATACCTCTAATTCTCTCTTCTATACCCCTTTGCGGCATTTATCTATTACATTGTCTTGGGATGATTTGCTGACCCACTGGCCTTCCCCAGGGAAGCCAGACTTTGAGCTTCTTGAGGGCACAGACCTTGAGTTATTCCAATGCTTATCCTGCTTGCCTAGCACTGCACCTGGCATGTGGGAAGGTCTCACTGAAAGTTGAAAGCTTCAGTCCTTTTTTATGTTTCAAAGTGCAAAACAAAAAGAGCAAACTGTATTTTATGGAGGGAGTAGAGAGATAGGTGAGAATCCTGGCATGTTAACATGTCTTCCACATTCTGCTAAAATTCATCTTTAGATATGAAATATGGAAGGCCCACCAGAAATAGGGACTCTCCCTCTGACAAACAGCACTTATGGTTAACACAGCAGAGCTCCATTCTGCTTCCCTCCATAGGAAAATGGAGATGGTGTGGATATCGGTCGTCGCCTCTGGTGTACCTTTCTGGACTGCAGATATGACTGATTAGATGGGGAACTGGAGGCTTTTCTCCCCCATTTATGCATTGCTCTGTGTCCAGCTGTAGGCAAGGCTGACATGAACTGGCCTTGCATTTTCACTAAAACGGTATATCTTCAATTAATGCAGTCTATACACGAAGAATAGGGATCACCATGGGGTGTTTGCAGTTGTCACAGATGTTCAGGGAAGGCCTCTCTGAAAAGATGACACTTGACCAAAGACCTGAAGGAGGTGAGAGGGTGAGCCATGCAAGTATCTGAGGGAGGCAAAATTTAGACCTTGGAAACCATAACCCTTAGATAACTGCTCTGGATACAGACTTTTATTTAATTTCTGAGTGGGCTGATGAGAAAGGTGGTAACATAGGAAAAGAATAGGTTAGGAATTTAGAAGATCTGAACTAGGCTTTGTTACTTGCTTAGCTCTGTGATCTTGGGCAAGTCACATAGCCTCTGTGAACCTGTTTCCTCATTTGCAAAATGCCCCGCCTCACTCACAGAACTGTTGGGAGTACCAAATGAGAGCATGTCTACAAATATGCTGGAAAGCGTAGGGCATACTTATCAAATGTTGAGTGCATTATGTTCAGTGGTTTACACACAAAAACGAGTTTTTCTCACCTAATAAGAGGACTAGCAATCCATGGCTGCTGCAGCTACTCAGAGATGTCATTAAGACACCAGGCTGCTGTTACCCGTCTGCTCCACCAGCGTTAGCATGCGGATTTCAATGGCATGGTGGCAAGATGACTGCTGTATTTCCAGGGCTTATGATGACATTCCAGTCAGGAAGGAAAAGTGTCAGGATGGAAGGGAGTGGACATCTGTGTCAGGAAAGCAATACTTTTCCAGAAATCTTCAGCGGACTTCCACCCATGTCTCCCTGGGCAGCACGTGTCAAATAGCTATCCCAGCAGCAAGGGATCCCTGGGAAGTTTTAAAAAGTTAGAAGCATTGTCTCCCCAAACAAAATACATTAGCAAAGAAGAGGAGAGAAAATGCAAATTAGTTAAGCAACTAGCAATGTCTGCCACAAACATATCAACAACCAAAAGAACTATTATGGAATCATCATTTTCACTACATTTTGACTCAGATTAAATGTTATGAGAAACAACAGTAACAGCACTCTGCACTAAACAAGTCCCTGGATTGTCCAAGAAACAACAGTGTATCCAATCTTTCTGAAATATTATTAAACATTGGTGACTGTAACAGAAGAGGAGCTGTGAGAACAACATACTATCCTTCTGAAAATTAGAAACTGCTTATTTGGGGGGAAAGAGGTGCCTTTGGTGATTTTTCTTTTTCTCCTTCAGGGTATTTTGGAACGTCTGGAGAGTGGGGAGGTTGTGGTTGGAGATGGCGGTTTCCTCGTAACCCTGGAGAAGAGGGGCTACGTGAAGGCTGGGCTCTGGACTCCGGAGGTCGTGGTAGAACATCCAGAGGCAGGTCAGTGCCAGCATCTCTGGGAGTGCTTATCTGGGTGACATTTTGAGTACATCTGGCTGAGAGAAGATAAAAAAAATAATAGCACATATTTTCTAAGGACTGTTTCACTTGTCAAAATAACCAAGATGTGGAAACAGTGACAGTACATGGTCTGAACAAATAGAAGGAAATTCTCTCTCTCTCTCTCTCTCTCTCTCTCTCTCTCTCTCTCTCTCTCTCTGTCTCTCTCCTCCCACCACCATGCACACACATTTTCATCTTTACATATAGGGACTACTAAAATATACATCCTACTATGTGTCTCAAAAATATATATATAGCTTTTGGATATTTAAGAGTTTCCTTAATATAGTAAAACTGTTATTGCTTCATATTCATCCTTCTAGTTAATTTGCATATTATATTATAACAGTGTGTTTGGTAAGGATGATTAATGGTATCCACCAGCTTAACAGAGCATAGACAATAGACAGCCAGGTTCTGTTGGGGGGTGGGGGGGGGTGAAGAAATAAACACAGTTTTCCTCATTCTACTTTGAGGACTGTAAGCAGACCAGCTAGATTCTTCATGATACTGGAAACTGAATAAGCCCTCTCTAGACCAAGAGACCAAGAACAATTGGCCAACTAAGCTTTAATCTCTGCATGAGTCTTCACCAAACTGTGAGGCCCAGCAGCAAGATAATATGAGGCTACTTTAAACAGCCCTGATTTGGTATGGTCTTTGCTATGTCTGTCCTTGAATTTTACTGACCTTAATCTGCAATTCTTTTTATAAGTACTAGATTTGAAATTGTGTATGATTGGAAGAGAAGTGGGTGAGCTGCTGCTGCTGAAAATTATAGCTTATGTGATTTTTAATGTCTTAATTTCAATTTAAAAAACTACTCGGTAGTTGGTCAGCTTCACATGGAATTCTTGAGAGCAGGAGCAAATGTCATGCAGACTTTCACCTTTTCTGCCAGTGAAGAAAAGTTGGAAAGCAAGGTAAGTAGTGGTGCTAGTTGGTTGGGGGACAGAGTGGGTGGGTAGGGACCATGTATAATAAAAGTAACTTCTCAATGGGAAGCTGTGGAATTGACTTGATGTGTTACTACAAACTCCACATAAAATATCCATTAAGTAATTAATTATTATGTAGGTGCAAGTATAGTAAATAAATGAGCTTTTTCTTTCTCTTTATCTAGGGGAAGGGAGGGCATAGGACTGGGGAACAACAGACCATTGGAAGGACATAGCCATTTTTCTGTGCTATTTTTTTTATAAAGAAAGAACATTTTATAGATGCTCTTTTTACCTCCTTATTTCACATTCTTCTTTTCTGACTTGTCCATCTGGAGACAGGGTGGTCCTAGGGCCCACGGCAGTGGCCTTGGAATGAGAAGAATTGAATACCCGACTTCGCCACCTATTGGCTGTGTGACTTTGTGTAAGACACGTAACTGCATGGAGTACTGGTTTTCTCTGAAAAATGGAGATAACTTATGCTTAACTGCCTAGGGTTGTTGAGAAAGGTGAATATGGTGAAGAATGTGGAAGTATTGTGAGATATTCTGCAAATGTAACATGTTAATACTTATAAATGTTAATGCCCAACCAACCAACACTTATTGAGTGCCTGTTATAGTGCAATCCCTAAGCCAGATACAAAGAGTGTACAAAGGCATAGAGCCTTTTCTGTAGTGGCTCTCAGTCAAGTGTGGGAGGCAAACAAATATGCTAAAATCCAATGTGGTAAGTACAATAATGGAATTAAACCTCACTGGTAGTAGAGGAGATGGTACCTAACTCTGCTGATCTTCTTGAATTGCAGTTAAAACCAGCAACTTCTCCTCACCTTACTTGCTCATTTCCCCCTTTGTTATAGATTGTAATACACCTTTAAAATGCCAGGCTCACCATCTTACTTCTTGCTCTCTAACCTCAGTGGAAAGATGTAAATGCCGCTGCCTGTGACCTCGCCAGAGAAGTGGCTGACAAAGGTGATGCTTTGGTAGCAGGGGGTATCTGCCAGACAGCAATATATAAACAGGACGCGGATGAAGCAAGAGTTAAAAGACTTTTTCGACTACAAGTAGAGGTTTTTGCCAGGAAAAATGTGGACTTCTTGATTGCAGAGGTAAGTCTAGTGTTATAGGGAGAGTGTTAAACTTATTGACAAGTATAACTGAACAGTCTTCAACTTCCATGAGAGTACTGGATTGCCTTATGCCCTCATTCCCTACGATGGTCAGAGGTTTATTTAAATGCACTATAGTCAACATCCTCTCACTTGGATGCTCTGTTCTTTGTGAAGCCAAAGGACAGACCCAGGAGAGGCCTAGCCTTTGCTTTTCTAGGGCAGGATGGTTGCAGCAGCTGACTCTCAGGAGACACTATAACATGGGGTCAGAGAAAGGGGACAGTGATTCAGGGAGTATCTTCCACTGAAGGAGGGACAGGCTACAGAAGGGATTAAAGCCCTGGGGGTAGGTGGATGCTCAGGCGCCTCCAGAACCCACCAATAATCCTCAGTACCAGTAGTTCCCTTGCTCTCCTCCATCCTTGCTCCCTCTTGCCTCTCTGTTTCCACTCAAATTATAACATGCGAGCAATATTTTAAAGAAACAAACAGTAAGAACCGGTTATTGATTGAACAGTAGGCCCAAAACATTCTCTTCCTGACTCTTCCAAAAATTAAAAAGCCCTCATTCACCATTTACCATTACAATTGCTAGAGTCAAGTCCTCAATCCAAGCCTTCACCTCAACAAGGACAATAGCCTACCAACTGCTATTTCCCCAATCACTCTATTGAACCTATTGAAAACCTTGCTTCCTCAGCCTTCTGAAGGCTCAGGGCCACCTACAGCAGAGCACAGACACACCCATATCTTTTGACTCTGTCATCCTCACACACTGCTTCTGCAGAATCTGTTTCTAAATCAAGAAGGAAGAAGCAGGGAGATTTCTGCTAGCTTTTCTTCACCGAAGTTCAGCTTTTCAACTGTGGCACTTAAGGGAGTTCCTGAGAGGCACCCCTGCAAATGTCATAAATTTATCAAACAGGGTGTCCTGTCCACCATTCACAAAGGAACTCGGTAGCTATCCCTCCCCACTCTGTGCCTCAGTGTTCTCATCTGCGGAAATAATCGTATTTCCAATCCTCCTTTATGGAACATTTATGAATATCTAACTAGAAGGGAATATAAAAGCACTCTGAAGTAGTAACAAACTACTCATTATTACCCCAATCCCATAAAAGATGAGTTCAAAATTTATTAACTTTTGCTCCTTCAAAATTATGATTTTTTAATACTCAATTACTTAAAAACCTTTGTGTTTTTTAGATGACATATGAGCAGAAATCTATATACAGGTGTGGCAAAAGTAGGTTTATAGTTGTGAGTAGGTGAAACACCGAGTTTATTATTGTATTATTATTTATTAAGTATTGCACTATTTTCCATACAAACAACAGTAAAACTATTCTTGCCCCACCCTGTATTGTTAAAGGAATTAAAATATTTACTCAGAAAGGTATTCTTTAGTCAGTCTGAGAGAGACACATTCCTTAGCAAGTTTATTACATATTATATACTCGGTTATTTTTGTAACAATGGTTTTGCAACATTTACATTCTACCACTCAAAATCTGCTTTATATTTGGACCAATAGAAAGCAATGCAATCTCTCTTAGTATTTTGAGCATGCTGAGGAAGCTGTGTGGGCTGTGGAAGTCTTAAAGGAATCTGGGAAACCTGTGGCAGCTACCATGTGCATAGGCCCAGAGGGAGACAAGAATGACATAACACCTGGAGAATGTGCTGTGAAGCTGGTGAAAGCAGGTAATGTGGACTCATAGTGTGATGAGCTGCTCAGTTGTTGTTTATGAAATTCAGCAAACTTTGCTTAACATTGTCAGGGCAGTTCAGAACTAAAAAAAAAATAATGAACTGGAATTGTTTTCCTCATCTGTAAAACTTGGGAGGTAGAGAGGGATAGTAACCTCTAAGGCACCTTCTAATTGTCAAAAAGTAAAAAAGTGAAAATAAAATGTGCCTGACCAGTGTGTCTCAGTGGTTGAGCATCAACCTGTGCATCAGGAGGTCACAGTTAGATTCCCAGTCAGGGCACATGCCCAGGTTGTGTCTCAATCCCCAGTTGGAGGCATGCAGGAAGCAGCCGATCAATGATTCTCTCTCATCATTGATGGTTCTATCTCTCTCTCCCTCTTCCTTCCTCTCTAAAAACAATAAAAATATATATATTTTTAAAATGTAAACATTTTTTATGTCTTTGCATAGGGGCTTCAATCGTTGGCGTGAACTGCCGATTTGGGCCGGGGATCAGCTTGAAGACAATGAAGCTCATGAAGGAAGGCCTCCAAGCTGCAGGATTGAAAGCACATCTGATGGTGCAGTCTCTGGGGTTCCACACACCTGACTGTGGCAAAGGAGGGTTTGTGGATCTCCCAGAATATCCCTTTGGTAAGCTCAGGTGCATATTAGAGGTCCCTGAGATTTCCTGTTGTGACATAATGAACAACTATGGTTCAGTCTTACAATTCAAGACTGCCTAAGCCAAAAACATTCAATATTAACCAAAAATGAGCTATCTGAAGAATGCATAATCTAAAATGTACAGTTTTTTAATTTAAAAGAAAAACCCCAACATTCATCAGAGCATCTATCATCTGAAAATGGAGATGGTAACAGAAATGCCATAACTATTATATTCTAGGACTGGAGCCCAGAACTGCAACCAGATGGGACATTCAAAAATATGCCAGAGAGGCCTACAACCTGGGGGTCAGGTACATCGGCGGGTGCTGTGGATTCGAGCCCTACCACATCAGGGCGATTGCAGAGGAGCTGGCCCCAGAAAGGGGCTTTTGGCCCGCCGCTTCTGATAAGCATGGTATTTGGGGAACTGGCCTCAATATGCATACCAAACCCTGGATTAGAGCCAGGTAGGAATTTTTACATTAACAACACTATTTTCCTCAAATCTTATTTTATTTATTGTTGCAAATACTATGCATGCCTATGATAATAAAAATTCAGGAAGTGAATTGTATAAAATGAAAAGTATAAGTTGCTTCCCTCCTGACACCAGTCCCAGTCCCAGAGATACCCTGCTTGGCATTTATGTTTTGAGGTCTTGTACCTCCATTTCTTGTTTTATCAATTTTAAGTGGTAATTGCCTTTTGTGAAAGCTGAGGAATTTAAATCACATGATCGTCTCCTTTTCTGTGTTCTCCTTTTCCTAATTTGACTTATTACATTTTTATTTTTTCTGTTGATTGTCTTTATAAGTTTGAATTTCATATTTAACCACTTATTTCTTAATCCATCAACATGAGGCAGTATCTGCTTATTCCACTCCTGCTGCCCTCTACTTTTTCTCACTCACCTATTTCTTGATTTCTTTAAGTTATACCATTACTTTTATATTATCAAGATTCATAACCATTGTATTTTGCTCTGTAATTATAGTTAAGTCCTCCAAGATTTTTCTGTAAGTTTATTCTAAAAATGTAAAGCTAGTAAATAACATTTACAATATTACTATAATTGTCATATTAAACAAGCAGGACTCATAAAATACAAATTAGAACACAACTTTATTTTTGTCTTCCTCTGTCTCTCTCTATATATAAATTTCTAATTAACTTCCTTTTTCATTGTTGAAAGAAGAATAACAGGTCTTTGCCTTCTCTAATATCTTCTTATTTCTAAATTACACTATTTGTTATAATCAATCCATTTCATCATTGAAGACATTGGGGCGGGGGGAAAGAGGGGGAGGAAATTACTGTTCTATTTGCATCTCTGATTCTCTCTGTCTCTCTCTTCAATAGAATGTCATTCCTTTCCCATTTTCCAAAAACTAGTCACAATATCTGCTGCCTCCTCTTTTCTATTCAGTGCTAGTATATATTTAATCTATTTTATACTTCTTTATCCATTTCACTGGGATTTAGAATACTCTTCATTTTTGAACTGGAATGACTTTCCTAATGTAAATTTATTTAGATTGTAAAAGTAGACAAGAAATCATTTATCCAAACATTTTTGGGGGGAGATATGGACATTTATTACATAAGATGGTTTTTATACTGTAGATATCATACTTAGAAAAAAAGTACTCAATCTATATACATAAAAGCCTAAGCGACCGGTCACTATGATATGCACTGACCACCAGGGGACAGATGCTCAACACACATGGTCAGGCTCCCTCCTGTCTGGATCGGGCCTGCGGGAATCAGGCTGAAATCGGCTCTCCAACATCCCCCAAGGGGTCCCAGATTGCGAGAGGGCACATGCCAGGCCGAGGGACCCCACCGGTACACGAATCCGTGCACTGGGCCTCTAGTATAAGTATAATTAAACAAGGAAGAAAGCATACTTTAGTGATGATTGATATCCTTCAGATAAGTGAGAAACAATTTATTTTAATTATCATTGTCCAAAAAAAAAAAAAAAAAGAAAAAAAGTTATCATTGTCCAGGTGACTTTAAAATGCATTAGCCACTAAAGAGAAAACATTTTTCTCTAGAGTAAAGCCACACACTCCTTGAACCCTGAACTCCCAAACATACTGATGTTTACAGATATTTGTGATTACACAGAAACCTGTATGCACCCAGATTTCTGACATTTTTATCATCCCAACATATTAATTTATTTATTGTTTCATAAGTAAAGGGGGAAAATAACTAAAAATATATTTAACACAAAGGTCTGTGACCAGGAACCTTTGTACTCTTCTTTCTAAAAGCAGGGAATAAATACTGACAAAGTTATTTGAATTCTGCTTTTAGTTACTTTTTGAAGAATTATATTTTGGCTCATTACATTAAAAACCATCTTCATAGCCCTAGCTGATTTGGCCCAGTGGATAGAGAGTTGGCCTGCAGACTGAAGAGTCCCAGGTTCAATCCCCGCCAAGGGCACATGCCTGGGTTACGAGCTCGATCCCCAGTAGGTGACATGCAGGAGGCAGCCGATCAATGATTCTCTCTCATCATTGCTGTTTCTATCTCTCTCTCCCTCTCCCTCTCTAAAATCAATAAAAATATATTTAAAAAATATTTCTTAAAACAAAACAAACAGACAAAAAAGCCCATCTTCATAGACTTGTTATTGCATTAAAATATTGAGTAGAACCCTGCTACAAATTTCAGAATGAATATCCTATATAATAAAAGCCTGATATGCTAAGTGTTCGGTCATCCGTTCAACCAATCAAAGCATAATCTACAATAATAAAAGCGTAATATGCTAATTAGACCAGACATCCTTCCGGACATCCTCCCGGATGAAGCCAGGGCTGCAAGGGAAGCCCGGGTCCTTGGGTGCCAGAGGGAAGCCGGTGCTGGCAGCAGCGGGAAAGAAGGCCTACTCTTGCACGAATTTCGTGCATTGGGTCTCTAGTATGATAATGATATGCTAAGGCCGCTCAACTGCTTGCTATGACGTGCACTGACCACCAGGGGGCAGACACTCTGACCGGTAGGTTAGCTTGCTGCTGGGGTCCGGCTGATTAGGACTAAGCAAGATGGGCTGAACACGCCCTGGAGCCCTCCTGCGGTCCCTCCCCAGCTGGCCAACCTCCCACATCCCTCCCTGGCCCCCATTTATCATGCACCAGTGGGATCCCTTAAGCTTCTAATACCTTAGAAGCTTAAGATCAGCTAATTGAATAGCAATTAATATCATAATCTTGAAAACCAGACAGTCCTGAATTTAAGTCCCTTGGCCTGGCCTGCACCCTCTTGCAATCTGGAACCCCTCGGGGGATGTCAGAGAGCCAGTTTCGGCCCAATCCCACAGGCCAGGCCAAGGGACCCCACTGGAGCACGAATTCATGCACCAGGCCTCTGGTAAGTCTATAAAACTCAAACACATTGTCTTTTTCTGACAGGGGGTATGAAGCCTTATGATTGTTACTGAGGATAGAAATTTGAGAAAGACCCCTGGCATGAATGGATATAAACACAGTTGTTCTGTCTTTATGTTGAAACTGAATCTCTAGTTTATCCTGATTATTCACCTAACTTATATGTATTGGATATATATATATATGATACAAATCTTTAAATTAATTAACTATATATTTTTTAAAACACAGGGCTAGAAGGGAGTATTGGGAAAACCTGCTGCCAGCTTCTGGCAGACCTTTCTGTCCTTCGTTGTCAAAGCCAGACAGCTAAGGAGCAGTGAAAACCCTGGAATAATAAAACAGAAAGAAACCCCCCTCGAACCTCATCTGGACCCCTCCTCATCTTTATCATCAGCCCACTGTGATGTTTCCAGCCGCTGAACAGCTCATGTGAGGCAGCCCCTTCAGTGAATTCTACATGCGAGCATCCCACTCCTAACGGATGCTGCAGAGAACACAATGGTGATGAGAAGCGCTCCTTGTTCTCAGTATTTACTGTCCAGGAATTCTGCAGTACATTGTTTTGAAGATTATCAAGAATAGCAAAAAAATAAAAATAAATACCTTAGAAGCTTAAGAGCAGCTAATTGAATAGCAATTAATATCATAATCTTGAAAACCAGACAGACCTGAATTTAAGTCCCAGGTCTGCCCCTGTTTGCTGTAATGATAGTGCCTAGCACATATGGTTGTCATGTTTATTAAAGTGATAAAAGGTTCCAACAACAGAATGTGGTAATTGATATTTGTTACAATAGACTGTTCTACTGCATGAGTTTATTCCAATCATGTGTAATAGTTCTAACCTAGGAGTTTCAACTTGTAAGGTATAAATAAAAAATAATTTTATTTTTTCCAAAAAAAAATAGTGAAACTTGTCTTTGGGATGAATTAGAGATTTAAAAACAATCAGAAGTCACTGTGCACGAATCTAGTGATTAATTCAGGTGACTAAGCTAGGTGCTTGAGGAAGATGAAGTGGCATTCTGAACTAACACACTGAGTCTGCTTTTCTTATATGATTTGTATAATGATTCCAAAGGCAGTCCTGAAGGAAAAGAAGCAAAAACCAATTTGAGCAATGGAAGGATTGTTGAAATAATTATATAACCTTCCAAAGTGATTACTTTTGAAGATGATTTTACTTACAGGTGACAGGGTCTAGAGTTTTTTTAATGTCTTTATAATCATAAATAGCTAGATTACAAAATATTTAGGGACAAGGACCATGTGGTATACTTCTTATATTTTTCCTTATAGTATTTAGCATTGTGCTAGGCATAATAATAGATGCTTAATAATAATCAGTAAATAAATACTGTTTAAAATAAGTAAAAACAAACAGTTTTAGAAGACTTAAAAAGTCGGAGTTCAAATCTATCTTGGTCTAATATTTTCTTGACTTATTTTCTATGTACCGATTTCTCTCTGTTTTTCAAAATAATATATCAACTTGTGAAAATTAATAAAAGTAAAAATAATATACCTCTTACAGTGTTTAAAATTTTATGGCTCTTTCTTTGAAAATAATAACAAATATTTATTACTTATATTCTAGACTCTTGCTTTTCTTTCTCAGTGTGAGAGTGAATGCTCACAATTGTCTAGTAGATAAAGTAACAGCTGGGCTAGTAGGTAAAGATCGTGTAAAAGGGCGAGAGCAAGAGCTAAGAGGCTACATAGGGAGACGGGCCATCCTTCACTCTCCCTTCCCTGTGTCTGCACTAGTACGAATGAAAACTTTCATCCAGTTTCATACCATAGAGTTTAGAAGTGGTGTAGTAAATAAACAGGAATTATATATGGTGGTTGATAAGTAAATGTTTTAAAATCTAGGTCCGTTGGCTCACAAGAAATGAAAATCATTTGAGGTCCATATTAGTTAAGAGCAACTCATTTAGATTTTTAGAAAGAGTCAAGCCATTCAGGTTTTCCGATTGACAATTGTGATGGATACCAAAAAAATTTTTAAATATATTCTTTAGAGTTTGTTAGTCATAGAAGTGACATGAATTGAAAGATGCAAATAAGGAAATTAATAAGGAAAAGGAATTTGAAGAAGATACACAGACTGTCCAGCCGGTGTGACTCAGTGGTGGAGTGTCGACCTATGAACCGGGAGGTCACGGTTCCATTCCCGGTCAGGGCATCTGCTTGGGTTGCGGCTTGATCCCCAGTGTGGGGCATGCAGGAGGCAGCCAATCAACGATTCTCTCTCATCATTGATGTTTCTATCTCTCTCTCCCTCTCTCCCTTCCTCTCTGAAACAAAAAATGTATTTTTTTTAAAAAAGAAGATATGCAGACAGAGAGTAATAAAAGAAGATGAGATATGACATAAAGATTGGCCTGAGCAATAATGTAGTTTACACCCATTTGATGAAACAGTGAGTAGCCACTGGAAATTGTGTTCAAGAAGAAAATTTAATTACTTTATTGTGTGCTGCTTTGCTTTGTTAACTTGTTGTCTGGGCATTATTGATAAGACAAAAGTCATCCTAGATCTGTTAAACATGCTGGTTTCATTTGGGTAAAGTGCATGTAAAGCCTGGAATAGAATGTTGATGAGATGGAAGTTGATAAAAACTTACAAGAGTCAAGCAGGTATCCAGTAAAGGAAACTCTTTAAGAGAAAGATTTCCTACATTGAAAGACCCCACAATTATATAGTGATTGGATCATTCTTCAGATAATAATAAAAACATACCGGGGAAAAGTATTTCAAATCATGCAATTCTAACTCCAACTTTTAAAAATGCATACTAAAACATTAAAATTTTATTCATAATTAAGCAATTTAGTGTATTAAAATAAGGGTTGTTTTTAAAGGCAAGATTTCTATGACTTTGATTCAGTAGGAAGAAATGAAGAAAAAGGTAATTGTTTATAAAAATTTAAGAATGACCAGGGAAACTAAGAACTGGTTTGAACTAGCTCTTTCCAGTTCCACAACAGATGTTTACCGTACCACGAAGTTATCAAGAGTAAATGTCCCTCTGATAAACCCTGCTGTGCCGTGTGTAGAATCAGCAATACAGACTAGCAAATAACTGGCACAGAGACCACGTAAGGGATCCAAGAGGTGTGCTGAAACTAAGGAGCGAAGTTCAGCTGGAAAAACAATTCCTGCTTCACCATGATCACAGCTGTGACCTGATACCTGATGCAAAATCATAGGCAACATTAAGCAATCCATTTTGGCTGAACAGTCAGCTGCCTTGAAGACAAGCACATATTTTATTTAATTAATTATGAAAAAGCTGAAAAGAGCTTCAGAAGGGTGCGATTTTGCCCATCAGAGCCATTTTATTGAAGTCTTGAGCCAAGTGGATTGGACATGCTGACTGCAGCATTGCTGGCACTCCCGCAGTCATGTTTCATCTCATTCAAAATAGTGAAATTGGAGAAGCACCTCTCCTTCAATGATGACTACATGCCTTGCAGGTTCTGTACTCTCATACCAATTATATTCCCTCATTCATTCATTTATTCACTCACTCAATCGCTCACTCATCCATTCATTATTCAAATAACATTTACTTATTGATTGGCCTGATAGTCATTGTACTTCTCCTATGGACTTCCATAGTACCCTAGGTGTATCATGAATACATGTCGGTTTTTTGTTTTAATAGACTTTTATTGACTTCAGAGAGGAAGGGAGAGGGAGAGAGAGATAGAAACATCAATGATGAGAGAGAATCATTGATCGGCTGCCTCCTGCACGCCCCACACTAGGGATCAAGCTGCAACCTAAGCATGTGCCCTGACCGGGAATGGAACTGTAACCTCCTGGTTTATAGGTCAACACTCAACCACTGAGCCATGCTGGCTGTACAAATACTATGTAGTTTTAATACTCGCTTGATCATTCCTATTTACTTACCTGCCCCTGACCTGAGGGGGCAGAGAAAATATCTTATTAATTGTTGTATTCCCAGTACCTGGCAGAATGTAGAACTCAACAAAGGTGTGTTTGGAGAGGATGCAGAGAAAAGGAAACACTCATACACTGTTGATGGGCAGCCACTATGGAGAGTCCTCAAATAATTAAGAATAGAACTCCCATATGATCTAACTATGCATACTTCTGGATATTTATCAAAAAAATATGAAAACACCAATTCCAAAAATACCTGTACCCCTTAGTTCATTGCAACATTATTCATAATAGACAAGATATGGAAACAACTAAGTGTCCATCAACAGATAAATGGATTTAGAAATTGTGGCATATATATATTCACCCATACAAAAGAAATCTTACCAATTGTGACAACATGAGTGGACCTTGAGGCTATAATGCTAAATGAAATAGCTCAGATAGAGAAAGACACATACCATATGATTTCATTCATATGTGGAATCTAAACAAACAAATAAAACATTTAAAAATACTAAACAGATTTTTAAAATGTATCATTGCCATTTAAAATATGCCATTTTAAAGTTTTAGAAAAAGTAAAGCCAACACAGCCATTTTAACTGTTTCTCTAAGAGATGAATGTGGGGTATACCAGTACTATTCTAAACCACTTTGAGTAACAACAAAATTGGTAAATCATACTTTTCCAGTTAGGAGATTCAGAAATATTAGTTCCCATGGGCTTCTCTCTGTGCTGAAGAAGCCTTACAAGTTGCTATAATGAACAGATACACTGTATATTCTGATTTTAGAGGCAATAGATACCTCACTAACTCCCTTTGGAAAGTAGTTCTTTTTCTTACCTACTTGCTCATTCATTCATTCATTCATTCACTCTATTCAACAAATTTATTAAGACTTTTAGGAGACAGGCACTGTGGGAGGGGAAAGCATCACAGGACATGCAATCTGAGAAGTAAGCAAAGTCAAATTATGTGAGAATTTATGTCTTAACAAGGATTTTGGTTTTTACTCTGAGTAACAGGAGAGGACACTGCAGGGTTTTGAACAGGGAAGGGACAGGATCACTCTGCTATTGTGTTAAGAATAAGTCACAGAGAGGAAAGAGCAAGGGAAGGGAGGTGAAGCATTTAGTTTCTGGTGTGGTTTTTTTTAAGTCCTAGTCTCGCTCAGCTGTGCCCAAGGGCACTGAGGGAAAGGTTATGGTCCATTTGAGGTGATTGGTTTTATCTGTAAAAAGAAGGGAGGAATGTTTACTCTTTCCTGGTTCAATAGTGACTGCTGATAGATTCTCAGTTTTATAATGAGAGGGAAGCAGTTTCAAAGGTGAAGAATATAAATGGTAGTGTCTTAATCGAACTGCTGTCAGCGACACAAGCATGCTGCCATAGAGGGGTGTTAAGGATGTGGGTCTGGGGCCAGGCCACCTGGCTTTGAATCTCAGCTCTGCTGCTTACTGGCTCTATGGCCTCGAGCTAGAGACTTGGCTTTCCTCATGTGTAGGAATAATAGATGTACCTACTCTTCCAATTGTTGGGATGGTTCAACGAGTTAACACATGTGCAAGCACAGTATGTACTCATTAATGTTAAGCATTATTATAATCATTAAGTCACCCAAGAATAGATGCTCAGCTTTAAAACAGATGTGAGCTTTCAGAGACAAGGCTTGTGTCTTACAAATCACCATAGCCTTTCAACTCTGAGCACAAGATTTGTTGAATGAATAAATAATTGTTATTAAAGCAACAGTCATATTATTTTATGGACTAAATAATTGAGTTTAAGGACAGATACCGCAAAGATTATTTTTTGGCCTTGGAAAGTAAATACTTCGATCCT